GCAAGGAGAGGAATTGGAGACGTTGCGTGTACGTGTTCCATTCCAGAAGTTATGCTGTAGGGCAGCCGAGAAATGGGGTAATAGTTAGAGGGAATGGGGGGTTGAAAAGGTTTTTTAAAAAAAACTAAGAGATATTAAAGCATATCTCTGTAATGCTATATCTAACAGATCCAGTACCAACCAACCCATTGCCATCAAGTTGATTCCAACTCACAGCAATCCTATAGGACAGAGTAGAACTGCCCCATAGGGTTTCCAAGGCCGGAAATCTTTACATAAGCAGACTGCCACATCTTTCTCCCATGGAGTGGCTGGTGAGTTCGAACCACCAACCTTTTGGTTAACATCCGAGCGCTTAACCACTGCGCCACAGGGTTCCTTAATGAACCAGTAGATAGGGAAAAATTGATGATGCTGGAGGGAGAGGGAAAAACTGCCATAGCCATGCCCTCAAGTATGCAGGATGAAATGGGATCCTCCAGAGAACAGATAGGTTGGCGTTAGATAGACGTGTTGACAGTTAATTCTTCAATAGTATTGAAAGGGAAGATAGAGTATGTAGATATAGATGCAGATAGTGAGTGGCAGGAGCTTGTGGAAGCCATCTGTGCTTATATTTCTCGGAAAATAGGGAACAAAATTATCACCTAATGAGTGAGGATAAAATCAAACGAAGCCTGTTGCTGTCAAGTCGATTTCGATTCACGGTGAACAAAGTAGAACTGAGCTCCATAGGGTTTTCTGAGTGGGTTTGAACTGCCAACCTTTCAGTTTGTAGTCGTGTGCAAATTGTTTGTGCCACCCAGGGACCTGCTAGTTGCCAATGTTGTTGTTATGTGCCGTCAACTTGTTTCCAACTCATAGTGCCCCATAGGATAGAGTAGAAGTGCCCCATAGGGCTTCCAAGGAGCAGCTGATGGATTCGAACTGCCAACCATTTGGTTAGCAGCCAAGCTCTTAACCATTGAGCAACCAGGCCTCCTAGTTGGCAATAGGTCCCCAGAAAAGGGCATTATCTCATTCATCGAAAGGAAGCTTCCCCCAGTATCTGGGTGCCATGTTTGAATAGAATTTGTTTTTATTTCCAATCATGTTAGTTCTTCAAAAATTGTTCTAATGATATCTTTCATCAGATGACTTTTGCTTCACACCTTAGTACTGTAATCATTTAGGGCCTATTTATATGAAGGTCTTAGATGTCTCATAAGCCTATTTTCCTGGAGTCTTCATACATCTCTTTCTTAAGGTCAGTTGATATCTCTTTGATTACCTGGAATTTAAGTCATGCCTTGTCAAGATTTGGAGATGAAGAAAGTGTTTTATTCAAAACGGAGCATCTGTGGAACAGATTAAGCAACACTTGGAAACAAAAATAAGGAACAAAGCCACCAAGCTGTACCTGTGAGGTTGCTTTAATAATCAGCTTTTCACAAAGTCTTCATTTTTAAATGTTAATATTAGTTGTTACGTTGTCATATATTTGATAAAAAGCGTAACTGAGTAGAAAAGTACGCTAATCTTCAGCTGTGACAATCGGAAGCCTGGTTATTTCCACCATATGGCCATAAATAAAGCACCACTGCGCACTTGGTGGCTATTTACCTTAATTGCAAGCAAAATATTTAGGAAAAAAACAAGCATCATGTAGCCTCATTGTCCCAAACCTATAAAATTTTATTAAGTGTTTCTTAGGACACCTAGTGTAACCTTTTGATAGCAACATTTTGCAATTTTAGAATATTTCTGACCAAGTATGTACTTTTTATTAATTACAGTCTATTTCCTATGGCTATAATGTGGTTTAAAAATCTGTGTTCTGTTAGCACAGGAATTAAATGAGCAGTTTGTATGCATTACTTCTTACCAAGAAGCACAATTTTCCATGATATTCCTTCTGCCAAATTGTATTAACCATATTCAGATTATATAAGAATATTATGAAGTTAACTCAGTTCATAGCACAAATTATCCTCAATATAGCATGCTTGTAACTGCTCTGGATCTCAAGTTTATTTTCCTTGCTGTGTTTAATCTGCATGATTATAGTCTTGTTGACTTTCAATTTCCTTCAAGCAGATAAGCCCTTTGAAAACCAAACATTTAATCATTTCCCCTCTGCCCCCCAAAAAAGTTTTACAAAGAGAAAAACTTGCATCAGTTTAAGGCTATTTTCTGTTATGGTGTCAGGGAGCTGTTAGATATGGGAAAAATTTGAACAAATGTGGTTACTTTCATTACTCCTGCTTGGTATGAGCCACCTGTGTGATGTGGCTGCTGCCAACAGTAAGGCATTATTAGTTGTATTAACAGAAGTGTAGCATTCTAACAGTGGGAGGACATCGTCCCATCATATTACTTTGGCCATAGCTAAAATATTGTGCCTATTTCTGGTTGCCTTTTTTTTTTTAGAAGAATACTTATAAATTACAATATATCTATGGGTGGAAAGGGATCTGTATACTGTGTCGTAAAAGGAATAGTTGAAAGCTCTTGGTTTTTTTTTTCCCATGTAACTCCAGGGGAAAGAACTTGAGCCAATAGGAAAGCAAATTTAAGTGAACATAAAAACCAAAACCACATCAAGTTGATTCCAACTCATAGTGAACCCACAGAGTTTCCAAGGCTGTAAATCTCTATGGAAGCAGACTGCACATCTTTCTCCTGCCAACATAAAGAAAAAAAACTCTAAAACTAAGAGCTGCCCAACAATGCAATGGTTACCTCATGAACTAGGAAAATCTCGTTTACTGAAATTATTCAAATAAAGGTTGGGTATAAAACACTTCACTGGGTTGGAAGGGAGATTTGTATGTATCAGTTACTAGATCCCTTTCAATCTGAGCCTCTGCTTCTGTGTTTCAAAAGAAATGTAATGAATGAGATCTTGACCACAGGATATAGGAGACGGTGAGAACCCACACACA